AGTCCTTCTCTGTTTCTCCATCCCTCCCAGCGCACAAGGGACCAGAGATGATGTGGTAATTACATCTGCCGACTGACTGGGCCGCCGCAGACGGCTCCGAGAGTTTCTATGCTCGGTAGAAAAATTAGAGGCTGCGCTGCGCGAGTTCAAGGCTGTAATTAGAAAACTAGAGTACTCAACAAATAAAAAGTGTTTATTTGTTCATTTATGAGACCCCAGAATTGCAACACTCTGTCATTCTGCTTTCTAAAGTTGGGTCCTGTCAGGGGGTACGGGCTGAAACACTCCCACTGGAGATCTGGAGGAAAACATATCTGCAGGATTTCTCTGGAGCAGCAAATTGCTGGGAACTTAAGTATTTGATGCTTCCGCTGGAATACTTTTTCATGTTTTCACTGTATTTATAGGACTCTCAGGAAATCAAATTCATTCATTCATATTTTCAGAAAGAAGCCTGTTTTTCCCACTTTATGCATAGCTTTTAGCTTTTTGCTGATCTCTCATAAAGAGTGTATACATAAAATTTTATTTGTTGCAAACAGCAGATTGTAGAAAAGTGAGTCAGTGATGGCAGCCTAAGGAATGAATGTCAGTTTTAGGAGATTTTATCAGTTGAAATATTTACAGTGACAATGTTTTTATTTTTGAACTATGGCAGTTTATTAGCTAAAAGAAAAATAGGTTTAATCTCATATTTACATATGCTATGTATAAGATTAACTCACTTTTATTAATATTGCCAAATTATTTCAATTACTTCAATTATTCCAGTCATTTCTACATTTGAGACAAACAGAAAAATGTTTGTAAGTACAGTCCACAAGGTTTATGTGTCATCTGTGACAGAGATGAATGTGTTTTGGTGCGAAATGTTGGAATCAACTCAGAGATAAAGCAAAAGATCTTGTCAAGATGCTAAATGAAGCTGGTAAGAGAGTGACATCACTTGTAGAATTAGTGCTGTGCTGACATGGGCTGAAAGGCCACTCATGTGGGAAGAAGCAACTACTGCAAAAGCTCACACACAAAGGCGGATTATAGTTTCTGGCATCAAACTGGAGTGCAGCTTTGAACAGAATGAAAGCTGTAAGTTCACTTCATCACATTTTATCTGTTAAAAAAATGTTTTAATCAACAGTTAACAAGTCTTTCTGTAAGTTATTTGCTAAATTTCTTGTCTGAATGTCTTTTAATGTCTTTCTTTTGAGTTTTGATGGGGGGTTTTCACTCATTGCCTTTTCATTCATTGTGTCTGACCGTAACAACGTGGTCTGCAGTGTGGGTTGAAAACCAAACAAGTGGAGAATGAAGAAAAAAAAGTTTCACCCCTAAAAGACGATTGACGTCATTCCAACAATTTCACTTCTGATCTTCTGCATTTTCTTCTTCACAGAAATACATGAGCTTGAAACAAAAGTGCTGACTGGGACCAAAGTGCAAAGTGACCAGCTTTCTGTAGACACAACAACGGTCTTTATTTAAGAAATCTTCTATGTTTCAGTGATTCGTGTGTCCGAGTTATGCACTGTGTGGTAGAAAAAGCTATTTTACCAAGCACTGTCAGGTGAAATTACTGAATTTGATGACTGAAACAATCCAAAGCAAAACTTTTGATCCTCAGAAAGCCTGAAGAGACATTACGCAAGGTGGTTTCAGAAGATGATTAAAAAGTCTGGTATCTTGGAGGGAAGATTTCAGAGAGAACAAAATAAGAACTGAGGGATGACTCAAAACTTTTACCCACACACTCAGTGTTTGTTTATGATGCTTTTTCTGTTTTTCTCGGTATGCTGTCTTATAAAGGTGTGCGTCCCCATTCTGTCCCCATTAACTTCCTTTGTGATGATGGTGATTAAAAATAGCTACAATGTCTATGTTCAAAGGAGAACATGGTGATATTGCAGGGCAGGAAAATTATTCACCCGGCAGACTGGGGTTTTGTTATATTTTATGTGTAATGCCATAAGCCTTTCAAATGTATTAATTTTTTATGCTTATATTATTCATGTATTTGATTGCCTGTACTCCAAAAATATTTGCCTTTTTACACATTGTGTGTGTGTTTGTTTGTTTGTTGTCACGTTGCAATGTTTCAGATCAACAAAATGTCAGACAAAAATCGCCAGAGGAAACATAAAATACAGTTTTAAAATGATTATTTATTTTCATAAATGTGCAAAAAGCTATCCAAAACAAGAACAGAATATTATATCAGAGCTAAACAAGATTTCAATATGTAAATGTGGACTTGACGAAATAATCTTTTTTAAAACTATGCTTAATATAGTAAACAAGCCTCATTACACGATAATCCAATTTATTGAGCTGCACCTGTATATGTTTGTCACAGGTTGTGCATTTAAATTCCAACTCTAATAGAAATGTAATTATAGTGGCAATTTGTATATTCACACTTAAAATTGGCCTAGTTTAAACTAAATATCAATATTTAGATAGATAGATAGATAGATAGATAGATAGATAGATAGATAGATAGATAGATAGATAGATAGATAGATAGATAGATAGATAGATAGATAGATAGATAGATAGATAGATAGATAGATAGATAGATAGATAGATAGATAGATAGATAGATAGATAGATATAGATAGATAGATAGATAGATAGATAGATAGATATAGATAGATAGATAGAGATAGATAGATAGATAGATAGATAGATAGATAGATAGATAGATAGATAGATAGATAGATAGATAGATAGATAGATAGATAGATAGATAGATAGATAGATAGATAGATAGATAGATAGATAGATAGATAGATAGATAGATAGATAGATAGATAGATAGATAGATAGATAGATAGATAGATAGATAGATAGATAGATAGATGATAGATAGATAGATAGATAGATAGATAGATAGATAGATAGATAGATAGATAGATAGATAGATAGATAGATAGATAGATAGATAGATAGATAGATAGATAGATAGATAGATATAGATAGTAGATAGATAGATAGATAGATAGATAGATAGATAGATAGATAGATAGATAGATAGATAGATAGATAGATAGATAGATAGATAGATAGATAGATAGATAGATAGATAGATAGATAGATAGATAGATAGATAGATAGATAGATAGATTATCCCCCTGCTTTTCTGTTTGCCCACAAGATACACATTTTCTTAAGTTTTAAAAAAATAATTTGAAAGAAAAATATTTTGCAAGCGGAGCAAACCACAGCAGAATTGTGCAAAATAAAATATTGGAACCATCTGTACTGTCCATGCTTGTTTTGCAGCTTGTTCCTTACATCCAAATTTTTCTCTCTTGACAGCATTTTCTTCATTTAACTTTCAAGGGACCCAGTTTCAGACATGAAACCGTCAAGAGGACAGAAGGGACTGCTACCTCCACTCCGAGAGTTGTGAGACCGTTGACAACTCACGCCATTAAAAGATTATCTGGATTGTTCTCAGGCTCACAGTAAGAGCACAGTCATCACGTTCAATCCACATAAATCTTTAGGGGTTGACACACTGAGAGAAACAAAAGAAAGACTTTCTGCTAAATCTCTTCATTTAGAAACTTACTAAGAGGGAGACAATCGTCGTTTGTGCTCATCAATTTTGTGGGAAACAATTTTGATTTTCAAACTTGAGATTTAAGGATATTGCGAGATTTTTTCAGAGAAATTGCATTCTCTGACGACTCACATCTGTCGTTGTTTGGTTTGGTTTGATGCCTGTTTTTTGGCATCGACTGTCCTCCCTTTGGTCAAATATGCAGGAGTACACAGGACACATCAAGACGTTTCAAGCAGTCAGAGGGACGTCACAGAGCTGACAGGAGCCGGATGGCTGGGACGCAGGCGTGCAACCCTCAGAAGATGGATTTACCCCTGCTGCTTCATAAAATTAACAGTCAGTCTTTTAGTGAAATTGTTCCCCTGATGGATCTACACTTTAATGTCAAAACTGTCATTTTCCATGAAACTGGCGAAGCTGGTTTAGAACGACGTCATTTTTGAGGCACACGAGTCAATAGACACAATGATATTTCACCCGCGATTGATCAACCTGTTCATGAAATTTTGAACGTCAGCAAATGCTGCCATAAAAGTAGATAGATGCGCTTTGTGAATAATGGTCAAAAAGTCCAAATAAGAACATGACGTCAGAAATTTTCCTATATAGTAAGTGCTTTTTTGTCCAGACCATCATCATCATCTTGTGTGAACAGGACAACAGTGGTGAAACCAGACGCCTTCCTCTCTGAGCTATTACACAGTAAATTTGGCAGTGTTAAAGCAACACCTATAGTCGAATTTAACACCGTTTCCGAGTCTATATGTTCCCTATCGGAATTGGTGTTAATGTTACTCTTTCAACAGTGTTACATTTTCAGAGTTAAATTTAACTCTAAATCGAGTAAAAATTTTACACTGGCTAACACTGTGCAGTGTTAATAAAACTTAACACTCCTAGTCAAATAACTCTGATAAGAGTAAATCTGATTCTAATCAGAGTTAATAAGTTACTCCATAATGATGAAAAAACTACTCTGGTTCTCATGTTATTTAACACTGCATCGAGTTATTGAGAGTTTACACTGGAGGCTCATATAACTCCTATGACTGTTAAACTGACACTCCACTGTGTAGATAATTTACTCTTTAGCTGTGAAAAAACAACTCTGCACAGATAAATATGAAGTGCTATTTTTACAGTTTTGTAGAGTGAAATGTACAACTGAATAAAAATCACATTACCACAGAAATGCATTTAACTTATTTATTGAATTAAAGCAGATTTTAATATCCACTGTTAACTTTTGTCACAGTAACATCACATGGTGTACATCCCATTGACGGCTCGAAGTTGACAGAGTACATTTAAGGCAAAGAGTTTTTCCATCCAAGTAACCATGAACATGTATGTTGTGGCAAACACGTAATGTGCCTTAAACAGTTCATCAAAAGCACCAAGAGAGGATGTTGACCTGCAAGCAATGGCATTCTTGTCAAGGATGATGAAGAAACTGGTGGGCTACTTTCTTCCTCCGTCCCACAGCAAGGAGATAGGGTTGTGTGCTCGTCGTGATGGCATCAAGATGTTCTTGGATGTTGGTTCCTGTCTGTGGGGGGAAAAAAGAAAAGAACAATATAATTACAAAGCTGCAATGTTCCACAAAAAACAGATATGGAAAAACAGCATTTAACTATGTGATATCACCATAAAACTGAAATCTCCCAGTGAAACAACCTCGAGTATAACATAAAATAAAATTTGCAACAAATACAAACCTTCTTGAAGACCACAAGACGCTTCTCTGCTTGGGAGGCAGATACCTTCCCTGGTCTCTTACGACCCAAGGCAGAGGGGGGAATCAGGTGTAGCAGCAGCAAAATCGATGAGAGGTCACTGTCCCAACCTGTGATAAGAAATATTTGATGTTGAATTGACCATCAAAACCTAGTGACTACACAATTTAAATTATGTGTACATCACTAAGTGAAGCTCACACAATAATTGAATTCTACATATTGTTGAAAGTCATCCTTACTCATGTCATCATCCACTTCAGTGCTATCCTCAGGAGTATCAGCTGCCAGGAGAAGTTCTTCAAGGTCACTGGTGGTTGGAAGCTTCCTGCATTGTTGGATGATCTTTCTCTTGAACGTGGTCGTCCATTTTTCCAGAAACTTGCCAGACACATCTTCTCCAAACATCAGGACAAAATCCTGCTCCACCTAGGATGTAGATAGTAAAAAGCTTAAAACATTTCCCAGCCACTTTAACTGTATTCATTTTGACTTGTCACAAAAATACACTATTTTTACATGAGTGTAAAATTATCAAAATAAATAATTACCAAGCCTTTGACATCTTTGAAACGTGGAAAGACAGAGAGTATGTTGCTTGACCGTTGGGGGTCAAGGACCATGTTGCGCCGGAAGTCAAATGTGAGCTTCATCTTCTTGATTTTGTCCTCATCAGCTGAATGCTTAATCAGTGTGATGGCTTCCTTGCACTCTTCTTCACTCAGGACAGTCTCTGGAACAAACTTGGTGTCTCGTCTAGCAGCTGGTCCTCCAAGCCCTTGTTGACAAGATCCTTCTTCGGATGATGCTAGTAAATATAAGAAAATCTTTCAACTTACAAAAACAAGAATGAGCTTGGCTGAGATTCCAAATTCTAACCATAAGAGAAGCAGATGAAAGACAAAAAACAGTAATCACAATGAAATAGCAAGCTTATTAAATATTAAAATGAATTACAAATATAACAAACCAGTTTCATATTTGAAGGTTAGCAGAGAGATCCTTAACAACATCTTCATCCAACTCAGTCCCTGAACTGTCAACAACCTTCACGCCCTCTGTTACAGTTGGCACGCCAAATTTTGCAAATGCCAGAGAAAAAGACAAATGCTTGTCTAAACAACAATTATGAGGTTATGTTGCTCTAATACTCACATGTGCACATAAATTCTGGAACATTACTTTTGAATAAACAATGTCAAGTAACATTACAAGCGCCTCAGAGCTTCCTGTGTAAAGCTCCCAGTGTCTTACCTGCTGTCAAAAACTCCTTCAGATTCGGCTTAGTGGGACAAATTTTTGCAGCTCGCCAAGTCTTGTTTTAATCAACATGGTTCCTGCAGCACATAATTCCTCAGTCATTCATCTTTAGTACTGGAATTCTTTCAGTTTATGAAACGTGCCAACTGCTTCACAAACCAATACAGCTCACATCACATCGTTTTCATAGAAAACAATGATTAAAGTTTACACAATAATGGCTTGGGCGCAAATTAATTTGACTTCTTTGCACTCTTATCCAAGTTAGACAATTAATAAATTCCCATTCCTTCAGTAACTAGAACAGTTAATTCAACTGCCTCGCTTCTTTTTCGCCTTGTCTGTTAGCACTAGCAACGGTTAATGGCGGAGTCACTCAAGGTTTACAGTAGAGCTATGATGCTGGGCACGGAAAAAAAAATCACTCGCGCCAAATTCAGTGTCAACTATGAAACTGGACTATTAGCATCGCTTACGGTTAATTTATGTTGCATTGCAAAAAATAACTAAATAAATAATAAATGAAACAAATATCTATGCTATATGGCTTGGACATGGATTTTAGGCGGGCATTTTAAGCTAGGCTTTCACTCGTTCAGGTTAGCCGTATAAAACTCAGTATTTAGATATCTAGCCCACTCATAAACCGGGAAACAAATAAAATATTCTTATAAAACAATTCAAATTGTATTATTATCTTATAAAAAGAAACTTACCGCAGTCGTTCAAGCAGGAGAAAAATGGCGTCCACACAACGGTTAGACTTGTTGGTTTGAGAGGAGGAGGTGGGCGGAGCTTGTCAGAGTCAAATTGACACGACGTGAATACACTCTGGAAATTTACACCAACACTAGGTGGCATTATACTCAGTCTGTTGTTGTATTAGCTCTGAAAGAGTCAATCAATTTTAACACAGCATATTTAACACTGCGAAATTTACTGTGTACTCTTCGGACCGAACTCGGCGAGTCTTCGTTTTGTCCTTGGCTTTTCAGAGATGACGGTTTTGGCATGTAGAAAAAAGCCAGACAGTGAATTTGGGGGGGGTGTGATGTCATCACTATGAGACACGGGTGTGATATCATAATCATGAGGTAATGGCGGGGAAGGGTGTGTAGGTTTATGACTTTGGCACACTCTCAGTTTACCGTCAGCCCACTGCAACTATCTTAATGAGAATGGATGGCCCGCCTCAAGCCATCCATGTGTGCCTGTGTACGCGTTTGCGTGTGGTTGTGTGTGTGCGCGTGTGCATGTTCACGCGTTGATAAAGTGATGGATGTAGGCTAAATAATGTGCTTGGAAAAATTCCTGCCAAAAATGACCCATAGGTACTCTTTATTTCTAAAACTTGAGTCAAGAAACTGAATCATTTTCCATTGACACATTCTGCCTCAGACAATACAAAAAGCACTCACCAGATGAATAACCTTGGTCTGTTAGAATGAGCGCAGGTTGAGGCTATTTCCAAACATACTCTCTTGTGGTCCGAGCAAACATCACAATGTCTTGCACATGGCTGCAGGGTGCTGAGTGTTTTGCCTTTTCTTTTCGATTATCACGGTGAGGAACTTCCCTGGATAATCATGGCAAGTTACCAGCACAGATGACACCCTTCATGTGTGGAGGGTTTAAACACCTCATCTTGCGTTGAAGTGCACGGAAAACCCACGTTAACTGCTGGAAAGACTCTTTCGGCCGAATAAGTCAACCGTTGCTTCATCTCGTCCTGCAGACGTTTATTCAACTTATTGAAACTTTAAAGGAAGAAGCAAGGCTCAGTGCAGAACTAATTTATGCGTTGTTGGGTTTTTGTTTTTTTTTTCCCTGAATTCCAAACTTTCTTAGAAACAGAACAAAAATATCAGTAAAGTACTCTCACTGATGACTGTTACCAATCTAGTAAGTAATCTAATATCTATAGTTGAGAATGCTGGGCTCTTTTTTCAGAAAAATACTAATTAAACCGAGTGAATTACATTCTGATCTTTTTAGCTGTAATTCATCTGTAATGACATAGTGATTACATTATCTTATAAGTTGAAGAATTGATGTAAAAATCATGAAATAACTAAAAAATAATTTTTAAACCAGAAACAGGAGCACCAATACCAAACTGAAAACTTCATCCTTGCACGCTATGTCATGTAAAAAGGCTGAAATTATGACTGAAACAACATTTAGCAGATGTTTAATGTAAATAGTGAAACTTTTTTTTTTCCATCACTTGATTTGGAGATGAGCTTTTGAAACCCTCTTTTGCTCAAATGACAAATACATTTTTAAAAAGTCCAATGAATTTTTTGTTCAGTCTGCTGCTTATAAATGTGAAAATGAGGGTGAAAATCTCACTTGTTCATGACAAGAGCAGTGAAACAATCAACACAAGCTGCTGCTAAAAAGCACGTATTAAATTCTCACATTACATTACAGGGGAGTCAGTACAAATATCAAATTCAGATCTCTGCCCAGCTTCATATGGGATTTCATTTAAATTTGCTCGCAAGCTCAGCTTTGCCTCTTTGGCAGTATTAAAAAAAAACAGATTAATAACACATTTCTACTCTGTTATTTCTGACTACCTAATGTGTGGCTAAATTTGACGTGGCTCAATCTACAGCGGTGACCCACTGTTTCATTGTCAATTACTGGGAGTAAAAAGTGAACGTGTGACCTCACCCAAGCGATCGCATGTGCCAAAGTCACCCTGCAGAAATGACATCATGGATAATGATGTCATCCCAGGATTCCAGACCCTCTCCCATTCCTGCTTAAATGCTTTTAGGCTTGGCTGCACACACACAGACACACACGCACACGCCCACAGACTGGCAAGTTAACATGCTTGCGCTCACACATACATGCAGACCAGCAGGCACACACACATTTGAGAGGCCTCACCCAAGACTGATTCGTGATATAAACAAGACAAACACACAGCAGATGCGATAAGGATGTAATTTGGCCTCAGAACAAATAAAACAAATCTGCAGGACCACAAGTGCCTAATATTAGTCCTTGACGATAGAAGACAGGCAGCAGATTCGTGTATTCGGTCCCAAGAAAACAAATGGGTTTTTTTACATCTTAAATTTGATTATTTTTCTTTGAACATAATAACATTTTAGACCATTTTATTAATCGAATCTATATTTAATCTCTGGTATCTGATCTTTCATACTCTTTGAACAAAGAACAAATCTTAAAATATATCACTCCATACTTTATGTAACCCTATTTTGCAGCAATAATAGCAGCAATCTTTTGGGGCATTTCTCCAGCGCCGATAAACATCTGCAGTGTGAAATACGAATTTATTCTTATTTGCAAAACTATAGTGACAAACAGACAAGTGATTGGCTGTGAACAGCTATTTTCAAGTCTTGCGACAGATTTTGTTTTAGATTTACAGTCGTTCTATCATTTGAATATAGTTTTCTCTTATTCAATTGTAGCTCTTTCTGCAGCTTTTGGGTGATTTTAATTGGTAAACAGCCTATTCTTGTAACTTGCACTGAGCCAGAGTCTGCTGCAGGTTTTATTCTTGTTAAAGGAGAGATTTTCCTCTCTACTGTTGCCACATGCTTTTACAATATGAGGGATCATAGGGTCAGTGACACAATGCAATTGTCTACTGTCGCTATGCGACTTTTCAGGAGGAGTGATTGCTGCAATCTGTTGGGTTTCCTTAAATACAAGCTGAGCTTAACGAACTGTTTGATAACTAGGATTAATTGGGATGAATGAGGAATTGAACTACAATTAAACTTTTTGCAAAGTGGCACAAAACAACATTTGTTGTGAATTGGTGAATGTGAATAAACTACATTAAACTGAATTGATTGCCCTGCATTTAGCTCCATTCCTTATATATATATATATATATATATATAATATATATATATATATAATATATATAATATATATATATATATATATATATATCAGATTGGGTGGATTACTGCTTCTCAGCCCCCTCAACACAACAATTATATATATATATATATATATATATATATAATATATAATATATATATATATATATATATATATATATATATATATATATATATATATATATATATATATTTTTTTTTTTTTTTTTTTTTTTTTAGTAAACTCTGACTAGCTTCCTTGTCCCTGCTGAGGAAAATGAGCCCCACAGTATGATGCTGCCACTACCACGTTTCACCCGGTTCATCGTGTGCTCCAGTTTCGGAGTAATCTGACCAGAGGACCAATTAAAGCAACCTGCCTGCTGTCTTCATGCTTCCATCTGTGGTCCAAGTGTGTTGGAGTACATGGGGCTAAATCGTTGAAACACACACAGCACTTCTGAGAATTTTCATTTATGAATAAAACATTATTGCAAACTATGTGTCATTTTCCACCCACTTCACAATTATGCATTGTTTTCTGTGGTTATGTCACATCCAGTCCAATTAGCGCACGCTGAAGTCTGCGGTTGCACCATGCCACTTCAGAACAATCACCAGGTATGTCAGTACTTTTGCAAGACACTGCACTAGTTGTTGGAAACCAATGTGCAGGCAAAACAATAATTTGCTCAAAAAGTTCTGCTTTCTGTGCATTTGTTTGCAGAGGCTGAACAAAATGATTAAAAAAAATATGATCACAGCTGTGGACTACAATTAAGCTCACTTTCTTCTTGCGCTTCCTCTGGCTCCTTCACAGGGACTCCCCCGCACCCCCTCGGGCGCTCTGCCCAGTCCCTGACCTTTTTAAATACATGGCTAATGTGAAGCATGTGGTGGCAAATTGGAAACACTGAGCTTTTAAAAGTTGTGGACTTTTCTTTTGCACATGCTAATTTCTCCCAGGAGATCCCATCAGATGAAATGACCCAAAACATGTCAATGTTAGGGGTGACATTTAAGCCCACGGGGTGGGTGGGTGGAGGGTGTGTGTAAAGGGAGAGGAGGACGACAAGAGTTCGGAGAGTGGACAAAGATCGGTGGAAGGGCAAAGGATTGAGTTAAATAGGGTGTGTTAAATGGTCCCCTCCCTCTTCAAAAGGATCGTCAACTCACACACACTCGCTAAGGAGCAGACCCCTGTTCCCACGCAGAGTTGGAGACCTGTCGTTCTGTTGCAAGCTGTTTTAAGAGAAAAAACTCTGCAATCTTTTGGGGGAACAGGTGCACGCAATGCAGGAGAGCACATGTGCTGGCGAGAGTGTGTCTGAAAAAGATGTGCGTGGGGAAGTGCAGGGAAGCAGAGGGAGAGCTTGGCTGCAGAAAACATCTCAGATTGGGTGGATTACTGCTTCTCAGCCCCCTCAACACAACTAATAAAATAAAATAAAAAAAAGAAAGGATCACCATTGTTATTCTTCAAGAAAGGCTTAGAGTGTTTTTGTACTCCTCAAACTTTTTTCACAATTTGTCACATCTAAATCTCAAACCTCAGTGTGTTTTATTGGAATTTTACGTGATAAAACACAACACAAAAGAACATGTAGTTGTGAAGAGGAAGAAAATGAATGTTAAGTTTGTGTCCAATGAAATTTGACGCTAATGACCAGGCCAGAGAAACCAAAGAGGAAAAAGATTGCTTCTTATGAGGATGGCTTCTCTCTGAAACACACAAATCTGAATAAGTAAATGTCACTTTCCAAACTGAAATCATGATATTAAGGATAGAAAGTGAAAATAAAAACAATAAAGTCTTTGGCCTGGAACTTGGTACCATTTCACTTGCAAGGACCAAGCCACATCATCAGTTTAAAGCTTTTAGCAAAAAGAACTGAGAATGTCGAAAAACGAAAGGTACTGATGAATATTGAGAGTGATGGAATCTCAAAATTGTTTTTCCAAGGAAGGCATGGGGAATCAAGGATGAGGGATGACAAAGGTCAAGAAAAAGGATGCAGGATGAAGAAAGTAGGAGTGATGGATGGAAGAGGA